TTGAGTGGGGGGGGGGCGGGGGCAGGAGGAAGCCAGACAGCTGCTGCTGTGCCTGCAATCTCTCCAGCCAGGGAGAAGATGGGCGGAGACAGCCCTGCTGTGAAGCTGACAGCCCTGCCCAGGGCTGCAAAGCATCTGGGATGCTGGGGCAATCTGGTTTAAATTAAACCAGGAAGGAGTCTGGGACAGACATTGCAGAGACTGGTGGGGGGGGGGCGGGGGCAGGAGGAAGCCAGACAGCTGCTGCTGTGCCTGCAATCTCTCCAGCCAGGGAGAAGATGGGCGGAGACAGCCCTGCTGTGAAGCTGACAGCCCTGCCCAGGGCTGCAAAGCATCTGGGATGCTGGGGCAATCTGGTTTAAATTAAACCAGGAAGGAGTCTGGGACAGACATTGCAGAGACTGGTATGACCCCAATCAGTTAAGTCTGATACTGCATTCAACTAGGTTTATCTCAGACTGGTTTCAGGCATTTTCAAACTGGTTTATGTGCACTGAACATCTGCTCTGTTACAGGTTTAAACCAGTTTCTGATCATTTAAGCTGGTTTAAGTGTAATGTCTGTCCCTAGCCTCAAAGTGCAATAATGCAAATCATTTCACTTTTAGACTGGGTCCCCAGGTTCCATCATCAATCTCTGTTGTTCATGTTTTCTTTGCAAGTCCACCTGGGTTTAGCCCTGCTAAATACTTCTCTTCAGGAGTTGTAAGAAGAAGGTAAATGGAGTTACATCAAACAGTTTCTTCAGAACAGAGTATTATTTACTGAATACATACATACATAGTATCTTGCCTATATTTAGTATTTCTCTCAATGCTTAAATAGGCCTAACCTATGCCTAGTACCCAAAGAAAAAGAAGGCTAGTCTTTTCAAATACCCATCACTTAGAACCGATGAAAAATGTTGACTCAACAGCAAACAGCCAGAGGAAGGGCCATATATATGGTCCTCAAACTGAGAATATAAATTTGGTACTCCAAAGAATGCACTCCTATGCATTAGAATAAATTCAGTTGGTGGATCAGGCACTTGTGAAGTGGTGAGAAACACTTCAGTGTACCAGACATAAAAGCTGCAAGGCAAAAATATCATCTTAAAAGAAAACTTGCTTAAACTAGTTTTCTTATCAAAGGATCTTCCTATATAGCACATAGGAGGAATACCAATATGGTTCAAAAATAGAAATGTAACATAGGTCACTGCCTCTTTGTAATTCCTTGTCTTAGGGATCAGGCTTGTAACACCTACTGAGTCTTATTTCATTTTTTATGCTTACATTCTATCTCCTGCCTTGAATTAACAAGCAGCCAACTGATTACAGGGTGTTAACAAAAACCTTTTAATGAGTTGACACCCAAATTGTCCGAAAGGTAAGGAAATGGCTTAGGCTTGCATGTCCTCATATTACCATATAACCAAATGTTGAACTCAGGAAGGAAGCATGAGCATGATTCTAATGGTCATTACTATTTTTTCAAATATTATAACATTTGTGCACTTTTCAGTAGTGTTAAGCATGGTGATAAATGGGTCACATGTTTGTTCTCACATTTTGTCAGTAGGAGAAGTCTATGAGGTGCTGTGTCTTGCTTTGCCAGGGCTGAGCTACATTTTGTTTTTTTTCTGTATTCATGGTAGACAAGAACAACTCAGATGTTCCTTGCACAAAGAGAGAAGTGGTACATTTTTAGGGGTCTTGGCTCCTGAGTAAGATTCATTTGAACCACAGTTTGAGAAACTTGTCTTTCTGCACTGATGACCTTCCTCTTTCTTGTAGAGTTCTTTGTTTCAAGGGTGTACCCTTTTCAACCACTGTCTTCATCCTGGAGCTTTGGAAAGTCTATTAGCTATTCTAGGGGCAGGCTAGGGAGTGCCTTGAGTGTAAGAACTATGACCTTGATCTCCATGGTGGGCAAGCCAGGGTAGAGTGTGGGCCAGATATGATAAGCTTGTGGAAACTTGAGGAAATACAATACAGAATTCTGTGATAGTTGCTGTTGCCTAAGTATTGAAAGCTTTGCAACCAGATACATTGGAGTGATGTACTGCAAGCAAGAGATGACAATTAAGCTAAGTATAGACAGTCAAAAAGCCAGAGGCTGAATTAATGCAATCTTCGCAGGTTAGCCTAAGCTGAGTAGATTGAACCAATAAGCAAGTGAACAGACATTCATTTGTGATTCCAGAATGCAGCCACATGCCTGTCGTGACCCAGGCCAGAAGCTGGGTGGGGTAGGAGTGGGGATAGGCACTAGAGCACACCTCCCTACTCAGCTAGAGCAGACAGCCTGGGCCAAGGCTAACCTACCTACTCTAAAAGGGAGGTTTGTGGAGGAAGTGTAAAGCATCCTGGGATGCTGGGAGACTGTGAGTTATGTTGACTCTGGAGGGGATCTGGGACAGAAGTTCAATAAACCAATTTAACCTAAATCAGTTAATGTGATACTACATCCATACAGGTTTATCTTAAACTGATTTTGGCCATTTTGAAAGCAGTTCATGTGCATTGAACTTCTGTTGCATTACAAATTTGAACTGCTTTCTTATCACTTACACCCGTTTGTGTGTCATTCTCTCCCTAGTCTTACTGGATTGGGCAGAATCTTTTAGCCAACATTCTGGCTGGAAACGAAAGAAAATATTACTTGCACATGCCACTTGGGAGTGTAGTGTCTATGAAGAAGCCTAGACTACTTAAATTAACCAATTCTGAGTTTTTACCCTCAAATATTCTAGTGCCAGAATAGAAGGGCAAGAGTATCTTTGTTAATTAACAAAATACTTGACTAATAAGTTAAGGTAATTAACCCCTTTCCTTCCAATTCTTCCCTTACTAAATCTTTTTCCTCTGTCCCATTGGAAAGGATATTTTCAGGGGACCTAGAGGAGAGGTTGTCAAAAAAAAGCCTCATTAGACACCCGTATGCAAGGGAATCTTCGTGTTACAGACTTCTTTCATTTAAAAGTGTGGTGTCAGAAAGGTTGTGATGGTGGTGGTGGCAAGTCGCAGTGGTGGCACGCACAAACATGCAGGAAAAGTCACTGGAATTAGGAGTCTATGTTCCAATCTCAGGGATCCTATACATGTGCAGGGAGCCTGCTCTGACGTGATGGAATTCCAGCGCGTTGTAACAGACTAAATTGAGTCTGCTGGAGTGTGGAAATCAATGTGCTCCAGCAGTTTACAGCATCACGTATATCAGTGTCCCCACACTGAAAAAATGGTGGTGGGGCACTTCAAAGCTTATTCGATGAGCTTTAGTTCAAGCGCCCCACCACTTTTCAGTGCGGGGATGCTCTGGGCGCTTTTAGTTAGTTCTGGGCTCTTGGAGCTGTGCTAATTAAAACGCCTGCCCCCACCCTTGCAGCATGTGTATGTATGGCCCCTTTAGAAAGATATCCAGCTTTTATATATCCATTTTTTCTGCTCTGAACATGATTGTAGCAGGAAGTGGTGATTATTTGTAGTGCCCAGGACTACATTTTTTGGAATACAACTGAAGCAGATCATAATGGGGATGAGTTTTCATTTGCCAGCATAGAATTATAGGAAATATAATTTCCTTTAAAAAAATCCATGTGGCTGTTTTGTTTGTTGTATTTAAATGATCTTTTCTGTGGTTTGTGGTTTCCCCTTTTTAGTTATAAATGTTCTCAACTGACTGGAGTGACTTATGGATGTGGCTAACTATATTGTTTCCTCTTTCTTCAACCTTACATTTCTGTGTTTCATCAACATCCTAGCATTACAGATTTATCAAACATTACATACTGCTGATTGAGATTGCATTTTTAAAAACAAAACAAAACTACTTCAAAGAATCAGCATCATTTGGGCTGAGTTTCTAGTCTTGTTCTTAAGCCAAAAGTGAATTTACAGTGCACTGCTTATTAAAATTACATTAGTCTAATTTAGAGATACCCAAACATGAAGAAGTAGGGTTTTTTTATTAAGAATTTTTATTACATTATTTGCATTGTAATAACACAACTAGGTATTTTGTAGAACTTCAGACTTACTATAGCCCTCAAGACCCAGAACTTTTGACATATTTGAAGGAATTCTGTTTACAAATAAGCAAAGACAGATTGTTGTACATGCTCTCATCTGGGAGCAGAAGATGAAGGGATTTCCCATCCACATTCAGAAGTTGAGAAATAGCCTGGCGGAATGTAGTTCCCTTATATAGATGGGTTCAAGAAGGTTCCCACTCTGTGAACCATTAGAGAGAGCAGCAAATACCATCATTCCTTGCTTCCTGGTACAGTATAGCTAAACCCTCATCCAGTCACAAAGAGAGACCATCACATAGGGAGCAAAATACTGCACAGATAAAGGTAGATAGCAGTGGGTGCTTCCCCTGCAGCGATACAGCTTTGTCTCATCTTCAGTGCATAGCTCTCATTACAAATGTCTTTGTTGGTAAGCCAAATATCAAGCTATCACTTCCTAGCAATAACCTCGAATTTCAAGTTATTAGACAAGAGAGTACTACCAGACTAGATTATACCAGATACTCGTAGACCAGTACTAGAGTACATTCATTTTTCTGTCCATGTGTTGCACTCGTATTTGCCAGACTTTGTTTTTGCATCTCTTCCAGGACTCTAAAGAGGGATTCCTTAAAAACTTGAATGCTGTCAATATCAATTTTATTGCACTTTTTTCCCCTAATACATGTCACCATTAGAATTTTTTCACCTATATCTTTCATTTGTCTTGTCAGCAATTCTCAACCAATGAACTGAGAGTGCTGAGAGCTCCTTTTGAAGGTGCTGCAGGGTGCTGTGCAATACGAGCACTATTAGAGGTGAAAACACCTACATATGACTCGCAGGATAAACCCAGAGATTTCAAATAGGAATCCATAGCATTGAAGCCTTTCTGAGTTCTTTGAAACAGGACTTGCTGTATTATTTTTCTGTACTCAAAGAGTGAAAGCCAAGAAGTGGCATTTTCCAAGTCGTTCTGCAAGTCTAATCTAAAAAGGTTGATAATCATGGGTCTAACTCAGGACTGTTCGACCTCCAAGTGGCTGAGGGCCAAACAGCTGGTAGGTGACTGGTAGGGGAGGCACACGAGGCATGTGCCCCCCCTGACAGGGCCATCCCCGCTGCCAACACTGCCAGTGGCTTCCGCGGGTGCTCGCCAGCCCCAGCCCCAGCCCTGCCACCGCCTGCTTCTGTGGGTGCCCCCCCCAGACTCAGGAGGCATCAATCACCCATGTACCAGTCTGTGGGCCCCAGCATGGGAGGCTGCACAGGTGTGCCAGGGTGAGCCACAGGCCCCTCAGCTCACCTGCCTGGGATACTTTAGAGGCTGTGTCCCTTACAGTGCCCATTTCACCAGACCAGGGCTGCTCAACTGGCAGGCCAGATGGGTAGTGCCCAGTCTGTTGGATCCCACTGTATCTGGCTAGTGGTCCCGGGCTGCCACCTGGGGCAGGGCCGCATCCTGCTACATGGAGGGCGCACGTGGCCCTGATCCCGCTGTGCCAGAGCTCGGGCCCTGCCAGCCGGCCCGGCCCCATCCCAGCCACACCGGGAAGGGGGCACGACCCCGCAGGGCT